TAATAAAAAATTGTTATTAAAGTAAAGTAATCTAGATTTTTTTTTATTGTAATCCCTACTAATATTATAAATGCGAAAGTAACTCTGTCTATCTGTCTGTTACGCTTTCACGCCTAAACCACTGAACTGATTTTAATGAAATTTGCTACAGAGATAGAGTTAACCTTGAGAAAGAACATAAGATAGTTTTTATCCCAGACTTTTGAAAAGTTCTCTTGGAAACGCGATATAACCGAACTCCACGCTGGCTAAGTTGCGGGGGAAAGCTAGTATTCAATATTATTACCCTACTTATGTAGCGTGAAAATCTTCGAAACTTGTCAGTCGAGTTTTTATATTATGTTTAAATCTTTTAAAATGAGTATAAGAACTTTTTCTTAGTAACTGACTTTGTCGTAAACGCGAGGCGAAAGTAAACTGAATGTACCCAGAAGTCATAATAACCACAGCTGACATAACAATTAGGTATACAGAGAATAATAATTGTGTGAACGTCACTATTTTACGTTTGACAGATAGACAATAGACAAAAAGCCCATAGACAAATATATTATTTATATTTGTCTATGGGCAGTATAAGTTATGTCTTGTAATATTAACCACAGAAAACGTGTTCAAGTTTAACGCGGGCTGAATCTAGCACAGCGTATTTATATCAATATTCAAAATTTATGAGATCTTAACAAAACTATAAAAATAAACAAAAGTTATTTGAGTATTTTGTAGTCTCAGAGCCAACATCACGTGAGTCAGCTTTTGTAAAAGAAAAGTTTTTGACTGTATTCTATGTATTTTGTATTAAAAAAACACCTACATATAATTATAAAAGTAAGTATTTATAATGACAAAAACATTACCTGATATTATACGAAATATCAATGATACGTCATGGGTATGAGTTTATATATTTAAGGTTTAACTTTAAAGTAAGGTTAAGTTATATTATAATTCAAATTCAAATTCAAATAAAAAACATAAAATGAAAAATTCATGACAATCCGTAATATCGTGATAGTTTAATTGGTAAAAACAATTGGTATGGACTATTCGGATGCTTACAAATTCGAATCTTGTTAGTGTCATTAATTTTTTTCTAAATTTTTTACTTGATATTAACTTATTGAAATACATTCCATAAAGTCCTGATCCTTTACTTTAGAAGAAGGTAAGTTTCAAAAGAAGAATATTTTGTGAAAATACAAACTAAAAAAATTCGTTTTTAACGATAGATAAACAATAAAATTTTGGTAATAATTTCCATGAATAACTAAATGCTATTAAAAGACGGGAAAATTGCATCACAATGAGTCACCTAATAATTGTTTTAATATTAATTATTCAATTAGTAACTTTACTGTTAGGCAAGTATTACAAAATCCAAATAATAAACAAAATGGTCGTATGGATAGAATACCAAATTGCATTAGGAGACGTTCTTCATATTTTGTTTGAAATTGAAATCATTTTTTATTTTCGAATATTAGACAACACTGAGAGACGATGAAGGAAAACTTCGTGAATAAAATTTAGACTTATAATTTTAAATTATAAGTTTGTAATCGCCAATCCGCCTTAAGCAAGCGTGGTGATTGACGCTCTAACCTTCTCCATGTGAACCTTGCTCAGCAGTGAGCTCCGATAGGCCAATGACGGTCATACGTAGAATAATAAATTTTGTTTTTCTGCTTAAAGGATATGTGAAGTACTTATATAGAGTATGTGATGTACGGAAACACTGAAAGTGCTAAAGTTATTTTTATTAAAAAAAAAAATCTTACTGACTTTTATACAAAAAGGCACCGGGATGGTTTCAATTTAACACATATTTTTGTTATTTTCTTCTTTGTACTTAACAAAATATTTTCATAAAGTAGGTAAATATTCATAAAATGTGACCTTCATTTTTGTAATGTTTTCAAAATTTTCAAAATATTCAAAATTAAATTAAACATAATTATCATATAAATCACAATTCACATATTATTTTGATTGCCGTTTTTATATTCATAACACTATAATATGTCGAAGGGAAAAGATTATGTTTTTAAAACACAAAAAATTGTTTACATTTATTTCACATTTCTATTAGTTACTTTTTTTAAGGAAGATAATGGACATTAGAAAAATCAAAGTTACCTAAAGTTATAAATGCTCATTTTTCTCATACTGACAGATAACTAAAGCCATCACTATTTTGTAATAGCCGTATATGTGACGTGACTAATCGATTACAATCGATTGCCGGTTTTCCGGTATTTGATGAGCATAAAAATTATGAACTGAAACTTACTGTTCTTTAGGAGAATAGTTATTTTGAAATGTCTATTTATGATTTCAAAATGTCTATATTGAGTGAAGTGTTTTTGATTACTTGTAGAGCATAAATTAGCTTTTTCTGTCTTTGTATTTGTCTTGGGAGTTGTCTGGATTGTCTATCAGTCTACAGTCAGAATTCCAATAGACTGTTTACTCATTTTATAAGGCAGAAACATTTATAAGACATAAAAACACCTTAATAACTTAAAAAGTTACATTTTCCTTCCCTAAATAATTAATCCCGCCTAGACTTATTATTAATAGGGTACTATAATTTTCAGTAATATACACTTATTAAGATAATAAATCATTTTGATATGAATGAACCTAGAGTTTTCGGATACTACGTATTTTTTTAATTATTTTTAACCACCATAATCCCCACGTTTCGGATCCTTTACTACAACCGTGATCACGCTCAGATGAAATGAAGTTTCATTTAATAAGCCCCCACATGCGAAATGCTTAAATATCATTTGTGTTGATATAATATAAACCTTAAAAGAGAAGCCTTCCTCAGAACTAAAGAAGATATATTTTTACATTTTCTGTTAATATTTTTGAATAATAAACACGCTTCCATGGTATTAAAAACTATTATTGTTATTAGAAAAGGTCCTTATACGCGTACAATATTATCAAAGCTAAAAACATGACTTAAAGACATCATGTATATGTCTTTAAGTCATGTTTTCAGTTTTAGACTTCATGTAGAAACGAACATTTCATAAATAAAAAATCCATTAATACAGTAATAAAAAATGACAGAAAAAAAATAAAAAAAAAGAAACAAGGAACTCGTTTCAAACAGACCTTTTTACAGTTAAGAGAGCATAATGCATTGTTAACGCTACAAAACTGGTTGTGTCGTGTAGTGTTTTTTTATTTAAAAATATATTTTATAAGTACTCTATGAATCTCGGCTGGTACCTACGTTTTGCGAATCAAATTAAACACAATTAGGCTTTTACTTTTTATTGAAACAGCCATAGCCCATAAGTACTTTCTACCACTTTTATATAAATATAAAAAACCTCTTTGCATTTTACCAAACACAGAGATATAAGAAAAAACCTACTAAAATGACTAAATTACTAAAACAAGAATGAGGTAAAGAAAAAAGTAAAAGTAATCTATTTGTTACGCGTAAAGTAGAACAGATAGCATGATACTTTTACTAGTTTTTAAGATGGCTGTCGTATCTATAGTATAAAAAATAAAGTGAGTTAAATAAAAATACATCTACATTTATTGCAAGTGAATATTTCTTTTAGATAGCATGATAATATATCAACAGCTGTAATAAATTACGACATTGTAGAAGAGACTAACTTATAGAAAATTTCTAAACAATAGAAATAAGGAATACAGTAGAATGGCTCCATCGCAATTTAGCTGCGTAACCAATTATGATTGCATGTTGTACGATGCGTGACGGCTATAAGCTGTAATTTTTAATAGACGCCATAGTTCTACCGATGCATTAATTTACCAGGAAAGATATGTTTTATTCCATTTTTTGATGAAAAAAAATCCAATGTTCGAGATAGTTTCAGATTTTGTATTCTATGTTCGGCGTTACTTCCAGAATTGTCTTACAAAATGGCTGAAGCCACTATTCATACTTTTCAAATGTAGGTTGACACTTAAATGTTGCCATTACAAAATTACAATAGTTCAGTATTATAATTATTTATAATCAGTCATAAAAATAATTCTAAGAATTATATTATAATTAGAATAGCACGGAGAACGCCACTCGTAATACCAAATAAAAATACATCTATAGATTGCGTAACTGGAGACACCAATATTACTTTGCGAATTATAAATATGTTAGTGTCAATTGGTGTAAGAAAACCGGTAAACAAAGAAATTTTCTGTCATTACGCTTTAACGAGTAACAAGGCACCTCATGTCAAGCTGCGCTGGTTATGGAACTTAGTAGAAAATTAAAAATATAAAAAATATCGCTTCTATTGTTAAATACATAAGGGCTATACTTGTTTGAGGGTATTTTCAAATTATGCAAACTTACTGTTAAGTTTCTGACGATACCATTTCATGAATAAATCATAACTCCGTCTTGTGTGAATGGGTTACTAGATTTCCTGGCATATGTGCAAGCATGAATAATTGCACATGCATTTGTATACACTAATCGATTAAAATGTTCGCAACTTTAATATCTATAAGTACTATCAACAACAGGTTTTTATGTAGACAGCAATTGCCAAAATATTACGTAATAACTATATTGTATATTAGAATTAATAATAAATTAACTATTATCTAATATACTCGTATAATATATTGAATTATAGAAATAAATATTATATAAATATCGTATTTGAATATATAAATGATTAAGTTTTTTAATATATAATGATCATTCTAATTCATGAATCCGTAAAACTAGACTCGCTTCCGAAGTCAATTAATTTAATTGAACAACTTTTCAAAAATTCTCTATATGGAAGTAAATTTATGAACTCGTCTTGTTACTTACGCACTTACCTGATAATATTATTCAATTATTTTTAAAAAGGAAACATTGCAATTTATACATATTTTTTTTTAATTGTAATCCAGCGTATTTATTTAAAGAAATCGGATTTCAAATCTTGCCACTTAAATATTTACCAATAGACAAGTCTTACTTACTTACTTTACTTTCTTCGGCGCTACAACCCTTTGTGGGTCTTGGCCTCTTCCACAATAGACTGCCATGCGCGACGATCCCTGGCTGTCCTTCTCCAGTTCGTAAAACATTTCAGAGCCTTGAGATCATCTTCGATGCAGTCGCACCATCTCTTTCTCGGCCTTCCTCTAGGTCTCCTTTGCTGCGGCTTCCAGTCGGTCATAATCTTGGGTGCCCTGCTTTTGTCCATCCTTTCTACGTGCCCAGCCCATCTCAGACGCTGTGACTTGATGAATCGGACGATTGTTTCTCGGTTCATGAGTGCCTCCAGCTCGTGATTCATGCGTATACGGTAGTCACCGTCTGCGTCTTTCACTGGCCCAAACACTTTGCGTAGAACTTTCCTCTCAAACACGGCGAGCTTTTGGGTTTCCAAAGCTGTTAGTGACCATGCTTCACACCCATAGGTGGTGACGGGGCGTATTATGGTCTTATAGATAGACAGCTTGGAATTTGCACTAAGATATTTTGATCGGAAAAGTTTGCTGAGAGAGTAAAAGCATCTACTGCCAGCCATGATTCTGGCATTCACCTCATCTCCAACCCTATTCCGGCTGGACAGTATCGACCCCAGGTACTTAAAGCTGCTGACTCCTTCAATTGTATCATCTCCAATGGTGACATCCTGTAGTGGACGAGGGTTGCGCGTGCTATGAAGGTACTTCGTTTTGCTTGCGTTAACCATCAATCCATACTTTGCCGCTTCCATCTGGAGAGTTGTGGTGTGTCTGATCATGCTGCTTTGAGACCTGCTTGTGATAACGATATCATCCGCATAGGCGGCTAGCTGACTGGTGTTATAGTCTAAAAGCCCTTTTACTCCTACGTTTCGGATGGCTGCCTCCAGCGTAAGGTTGAAGATAACATAGCAATAGACAAGTCAATGAGCTAAAATCGGCCTTTTGTAATGTTATTAAAAAAGGTAAAACTGCTTTTAAAGAGGTTTAATTTAAAAATATACAGTTTATTCGTTCATTGAGTCGGTCTCCCATTCATCACATTAAGAATTCCAAGCATATGAATTACTTCATCTTAATAACATGTGTACAATGTGGTAGAAAGTTGAGACCTTGTGAATTTACAAGCAGTTTGGAGCCTACAATAGTAATTGTGTGATAACGCGCTATGGTGTGGAGAAAACTTCGCGACTTTCGACTTGTTGGAAAGTAACATACATCCACACGTGGTTTGAATGCAGTTTTTATTCGAATATCTTGAATGAAACTCTTATCTAAATCTCATAGCTATTGTATTTAAAACACATATCAGTATTTTGTACAGAAAGAAACATTTCTCAGTGTTAATAATTCAGTAAAGCTAATAATGCTTGATTTACACGAACTTTATAAATCATCAAAAAGTTCTCCAGTCTCTAGTTTTTTCATCGCCTCTCTTTCCTCGATAGCGATTCTGGCTTTCAATTTTGCTAATTGACGATCTCGTAAGATTTTTCTCTCAGCTTCCTCTTCACGCCAAATTTCTTCTTCTTTTTCATATCTGGTTTGCTTGATACGGCCATAAATTATACCTGCAAAGAGTAGCCCAAATCTTAGACCCCTGATCAGAGGAGATACTGGAACCGGAGGTCCATATGGCAGAGACATTTTCAAATTATTATTTTCGATTTCACGTAACACAACATTAAAATGTCATGTGACATTTGACAAGTACAGAAAAAAATAAAATAATCTGTAAAGTTTTTACAGAAATCGGTAAACTGAACAAGTCCATCACTATATTCTAGGTCAAGTGCAATAAAACAACAATAAAATTATTTTTTTTGTTCCGGAATAACATTTATGTCGTTCGGAAGGCCAGTGGCCGGAGTGCAGCTAAGAATACCGTTTGTCTCTAGTGTGGTGACCACCAATTATAGCAGGCTGGCGAGACGCCAGTTAAAGTGCCAACGTAGCGTGGTCAACAGGAACAATCGTTTATCGAATCAATCAAATTCAAGCATAGTATTAAATATATCCAGACTTATTAATGACAACAACTTAAATTGTAATTAATTAAACATTTAAAACATAAAGTTTAAGGGCTTGATTATGAGAAATGCAAAATTAATCTTAAATAAACCACACTTATAAAAATGTATGACTTGAGAAGATTGGACAGTTATTACGAAATTAAAAGTGTGTACTTTTTTGCTGCAATACAGTTCTAATTTTCTCTTTTACGTAACCAAAATAGCCTTTATAAAAGATTTTATAGCTGTCATCTATTGCTTAATATTTACCTTTCATTTATAAACCAAAGTGTTAAGTGAAATATCTGAAAACTTAAGGAAATAGAATTTGTAAAATACAAGAAAGTATAATCATTATTTGTAGCTTTCACATTACTACTACTAGCTTACGTACTATTATTATAATGTTTTCTAATTTCATACAAGTCTTATTATGTAGCACTACTTAATTGTTAGCTTTTACAAGTTGCATAAAACTATGGTCTTCGGTCATAGTACCGGACACAACGTTTCTGTTACGTTACAACAACCGTGATTATGGGCTGCTGTAGGGCAAAACTTAAATTTGATAATTGCTCTGCTTCGTTCAAACCTTGATCACACTACCATAATAAACGTCCATTGCTCTTCATCAAAGCCCAGGTAGGTACTAGGTAGGTACTTTAGTTTTTCCTGGTTAGGATGATCGTCATTAGGAATCCTAAAATAAACAGTACTAGCCAGAGGACTAGTACTGTTTATAAGAGACCCATATATTATATAAAAAGATATGTAGATATCAATGGGAAATCGCAACACAATCCTTGCTAGTTAGTTACCATAGGCCAGGTTTTGTATTAGATCCCCTCATGCTTATGACTTCTTGAAATTCTAGAGATCATGCTGCAGAAAAAAAAAACATCTTACCATTAAAAAACCACCTACTTATTACTTGTCAGTTGTCAGCATTGTAGAACCCATAGTAAGTCACTGACAGTTGAACGACAACCTGCCATATTACAGCATGGTTAGTTATTAGCGTTAGTTAGAGTATACAGTATAGACACGACCTTAAAGAAGATTTTAATTGAAACCATTATAAATGTCCGAAGAAATAAGTTAATTAGTGAGACTAATTAAGACTAGGTACGAGAATCATTGCTTTAAAAGAAGGGAGTGTACTAACTTGCTTATTGCTATGGCTTGTCATACATTAGGTAAAACGACGAAGAGAACTTTTTCAGGGCACAAATAACTTATATCCGATATTAAAAGCAGGCATGCCTCGCAATCATTACATATCTGATTGGACTAAACATAGATCTTTTCACATGAAGTCACCTATATAAAAAACAATCCACTAGGTTATTGGAATTTAAAAAAACATCATTATTATTTCAATTATTTCAAAACAGCAAATGGCTGGCAACAATCTACCACCTCGGTTTTTCTGTAACCACACTATACTGAACGCCAGACCAGTACGCAAAAATATTCAGAAATCGTTAGAGATCACAAAAAAACATGACTTACTAACAGATACTTTTATCTCGTCTGCCCGTGATCACGGTTGCTGAAAGTAACCTAGACGGTGTTCAAATTTTATTATAATAAATCCAATAGTTTATCAGAAAATCATAGTTTTGTTCAAATGTGTTCTCGCGAAAATCTAAACATATGTACATAAATTTAAAAAAACATCCGCTAAAATAACATGGAGTACCTAATATTAAAAATTACTATAATAGCTCAACTTATTAAATTATTCTGAAATGTCCTTACATGTTTTGACCTTTTACAAATGCGTTTAAATCACATCATTATAATCATTTTATATCAATTTGACTTATTGTTGTTAGAAAATGAAAAAAAAACGCATTAAATGCATTGGAATTAGTTCAAAGAAATGGAGAATAGGTACGTGGAATCATAACAGTTTTATTATTTTATTGGCTTGCCGTTGAACATCAACCCACCCACGCCTAATTACATCCTTTTATATAAATGAGAGATCACAAATAGAATAAACAATTTTATATAGTAGTAAGTATGATAATTATTACTTTTGTTAAAATTAAGTATCTAATATTAACGGGATTTAAAATACTTTGTAAGCCAAGTTTGTGCTACTAAATTAGAAGGTCCCTATCCTAAATATTTATGTTTTTGAGGATTTCTATTATATAAATTAATATATACAAAATCTTTTTATAACTTACGGTTCTTTGCAATTTAACAAAATGAAAAAAATATTGTAGTATCAAGGTGAGGCTTTATATAAGCAATGGCGTAATCTTCTCATTGTAGTAAACTGCGATACACAAAAAGTCATAAGTCGTGACCTCGTGTAACAATTATTAGACTACGTATTGTATTAAAAATGAAGGTTCCGAATCAATAGTAATTTAAAACTGAAATACCTATATTTAAAATGAGAAATTTTTAATCAATATTATATCCAATTTCAAAAATACATAACAATTTAATAATTAATAAAAAACGTTAAAAACTACTATTGTTGCTAATATAAAATGAAGTTGTTCCGTTTATCGTCTTAATTTTTTTATCTAAAAAGTTGATAAGAAACCGGTACATATTTATTCTTTTCTTTTCAGTATTTGACAAACTTCCCTAGCAACTTACTTTCCTTGTCACACTTGTGACAAACTATCATGGTCTCTTTTCCTCTTCTTACTGTGTTTTTACGTACAGTTCCAGTCCGTATTCGTCAGTTGAGCTGTTAAGTATCAATCGAGTGTCATATTTTAAACATATTTAATAGAATATTAAGATGTAAGAATACATTCGTATAAAAGATAAATATAATTTGATAGATATTCGAAACTCTAATATGGGTATCTTTAAAAGGCTGAAGCCATGAAATTTATCGATTAATTAACGCTGGGTGTGGTGTCGCTGTCAAATCTATGTTTGAAGTTTTAGCTCTAATCTTTGTTGTACTACTTCAAAAGTGTTTTTTGAGTGTTGAGTGTTGTGATTTGCGTTTTGCAGAAGTCGTCCAGTACAAAGACGACAACAATGACGACGCCGGCCAAGCTTTATGGACGCGAGCTGTCGGCGTACGATGAGGTTGACGTTGATGAGTTGCTGTCCAAGTTGTCACAAGAGGAACTCACCATGTTGGCCAAAGAAGTTGATCCAGATGTAAGTACTGAGTGTAATCAGTTATTAAAAACTGAACATTGTATAACACTCCATTTCGTAAATTCAACAAAATCCACTTAATACTTATACAATATTTAATCAGGTGATGATTCAAGCTCATTTTTATTTATATTTATAAATTAGCAAACATAAATTATGTTTGGTTATATAAATGATATATATGTTGATGTTATGCAGTAGAAATATCTATTATGTGTATAATAATATGTAATATCTTGTATAATAATCCTGTCTTTTACATAATGAACTAATTTTTCTCATAAATTATTAATATACTTTCTTTAAATTAAGCACAACTCATTTTATTCAGATCATTGATGTTTATAACAAAACTAATTCTAGTAAGTACACAAATAAAGTAAAATTACAATTTATGATCGGACAACACACTATTAAGTCTTTGTATAATTTACTTCTTATCAAAAATATGCACAACAATGAGATTTAACCTCAATTTCTAATAATATACATAAATTATTAATGTTATAGTGATTCAGACATTTTAATTAAATTTGAGTAGAATTATAATATAGAGCCGTATTAATTTCTAAATCTGTCATGTAACATTGTCCTAGTAAAAGTTAATTAATATATTAATAAAACAATTTAATTTATTCAATAACAACTCATTAACAACTGTAATAACCAATGAAGGTTACTTGACAAACCCTGAACATTATCTAATCATTGTTCATTTAGCAGCAATAATGATTATTTAGTATTAAATTATAAATGAATTCATATGAAATGTTTTTCTTTGTAATATTAAAATTCTTATTACTTAATTCTTGACAGTCTTGTCTTACATTTTTTCTCTAAATAATTTGTAATTAAAGATAAATAATACAATTTTCTCTAAAGTTTTGTTCTCTTAGTTTCATTCAATCACAGAATTTGTTGTGCTTGTGACTTATCAAGATTTATTGTAAATTTGCAAAATTTTGCATGCTCTGTTTGCTCTATAAATTGACCATTATACTTTTAAATTAAAGTTCTACTCTTATTTTTTCTCTCAAGATGTGTGCCACAGATATTTTTATAATGATTTTTATAATTTAATATATTTAACAATTATTCTTTAAATACTTATTTTAATTCTCCATATGAAAAGAGGAGTGTTATAAGTTTCATATTGATGTCTGTTTGCCTGTGGCATCATATGTCTGAAATTGGTAGATCATTTAAAAGGATTTTATTTTTTTCCCTTAGAAAGCTAGTTAGATATGTTTGAGTCGTATTGTTCAAGAGTATCAGCTCTTTTCCAAAATATATACATAATTTTTTTGTATGAGTACATAATAAAGTGTTTTGCACATGCTAGTTTAACCGGTAAATGGCAATAATGTATAGTGTAGGTAGGTAGTATATGTAGGTTTTCTTTTTAATGTAATAAAATTAGGTTCTTTCACTTTCTTTAAGTATCATTTCTTGGTAAAGTCGCATCATAATTGATACATAACATAATATTCAATCAACATGATAAATGGATTTAATGATATGATAAGTTTATTAAATGTAAAAATTATTATTTATTAGTAAGAATAAATGCATATTAAAACATATATAATCATTTCAAATAAAATTCTTAATTATGTACAATAATAATGTAAAATTAATAATGAATATTAAATACATGTTATGAATGCTATTCAGTAGCTATTGTATAAAATTCACCATAACATATCAAATTGTCATATATAACCATAAAAAATAACTTGAATGTAAACAAAAAAACAATATTAATAATAATTAAACAAATGATTTATATGTTTCAGGACAACTTTCTCCCTCCCTCGCAACGGAATAACTATGCGTGCGAGAAGGACCCCACCGGCCCCCTCAACAGGAAGAAATTAATCGAACACATTAACAAGCAAGCCTTAGAAACACCCGATAGGCCAGAAGTCAAACCATATGTTCCTGGCGTTGTAAGGGGTAAAAAGGTAATATATTACATAAACATCCACAAACTTAAAAGATTTCATTACTTTATAAATGAAATTATTTCTGCTAATTGCTTTTAGAAATTGTGATAAGTAGGTAAAAATGAAATGGATTTGGTATTAAGATTCCATTTCATATACCAAAATGGCTTACAGTATTTTAATTTAGTATGATATCATGCACAATACTTTATATCAGAATGACATTGAAGGAATGAAGCAAGAATTACATTGATACTTCCTCTAGCAAGTATAGTTACTTTAATTAAAGTATTGTTAAGGCACAACTAAAAGGCGTTTATTCGGGGTGTGTAAAGCATATATGTAGTTTCATTTCCACTTAGCATCAGGTTAATCATCAAGCAATATCCAGTCAGTAATTAACAATTTTTGATATTCACTTACTAATCACATTCAACCACACAGGGCAATAAGCTTATATATATATTAAAGTATAGTCAGTGGTGGCCCAGTGGTTAAAAGGCCCGCCTCTCATGTACAAGGGCGCGGGTTCGATCCTGGTCAGGGCAAGTACTAATAATGTGATTTTTCCGAGTTATATGTACTTTCTAAGAATATTTAGACATCACTGATTAATGTTGATTCCCAAAAAAGGGATGATGTCAGGCAGGCGGACGGTCGTAAAAACAAACAGCCAAAATTATTCACAACATGTAAGGCAGACCCTGGCTATAGCTGGGAAATTGCCAGGTAGAAGAAGAAGATGATAAAAGTATGTGTTAATAATTTTCAGTGGATTCCACCACCACCTCCTGAGAAAGTCCGTGATGCTGAAGAGCAAATCACTATAGATCTGGGAGATGAATATGAACAAGCACTCACCAGCGCCTCCCAGGAGGAAATCATTGATCTTGCAGGTAATATATGCGGATAAATAGAATTATAAATATTTTCTTAATTTGCATATTCTGTATATTTTTATAGTTGCTTTTCACTTGAGTTAAAGGTCAAACAATAATATATAAAAAAACATTGACTTAATGGTCCAGAAATGTTAAAATCGTAGTATTAGGCCTATTCTATATACTAACTATTGCTGATAGTATATTAAAACTTCATACATAATTTCAAGGACAATGATATCTGCCATAATCTACTACTTGTTTTACCTTGTAAATTAGACACAGTTCATAACAAAGTACTGATAGACAAAGAAGGTGGCTTTATTTTCAATATAGAGGAAAAATTATTGGGTTGAGATACATTTTAATTGAGCTGTATTTGTCAAGTTTACATGTATTACTAGTTATTAATATACTCAAATAAGTTTGCTAAGTAGTGCTTAACAAATATGATTTGTTTTTATAAATACAGACATTTTTCTTCAGAATTCTGTTCTCTACAATAGTTTAAATAAATATGACCACCCAGTGAGCTCTAGAAAGTATTTTAGCGTTGTTAGAAAGACTGTCAATCAAAATATGTTAAATGGCTTTCAAGATTTTGATTAATGATTTTTTTAGTTTTTATTTTTTTTACATTCTCAACAAGTTTTGTTCTATGTAATATTATGTAATCTGTATTATGACAACCCACTTTTTAAAGCATTTATGTCAATATTAAGTAACTGGTGACACTATTAACAATTTATTGTAAAAATATATATTTAATGACAAACGACTTTTGAATTATAAAAAAACTACAACTATTGATAATGGAAATTATTATTATGTGACATAAATATATTTTAAATTGCCAGCAATTGTTCAATAAATGTAACTCAAACTCACATCAAAAGCCCAATCTTTAACAAATACAAGAAATTTACAAGTTTCATATTAAATCTTTTGTAATAAAATTCTTTAGGAATTCGCGACAAATTGGCAGTTGTCCAGTTGTCTAATTGATGATCTTAGTCTTGACATTAACACATTCTCTTTATATACAATCAGTTAAAATGTAGCTGACATTATTTTATGAATCTAGAAATTTCTACAATCTGATATCTTACTTGTTTACAAAAATAATGTTGTTCTATAATTATTTTTGTTTTGTTTGTAGACCGTTGAATATTGAATCAATAAGAACATGATTATATGTCAAATTAACTGAGGATGTGTGTATTATAATGGCATTGTCATTGTATACAGTAAATAATTGTTTTAAAAATACACGTTTTAATATGAAAGTAAACATGAATTCATAGTTGTATCATTCTTTTATTACCAGCTATCTTGGGTTTCCATTCTATGATGAATCAAGATCAATACCACGCCTCTCTACTGAACAAAGGCCAGCCAGTGGGGCTCGGCTGGGACGGTATAACCAAGGCTTCTAAACCCAAGGTAACATATACATTTTGTATTATATAATAATGAAACATTTAGGAACTTTATAACCTTACTAAAAGTAATAATTGAGTAAAATTGGAATTTACTATGTATTAAAAACTTCAACCTTTCTCAGGTACTTCATATTGTGATTCAGATTTGAAAGTTAATAACACGTCGTGATTTTTATTTTATTAATTATTTTAATATTATTTATCCTATGTATATTTGTATTTGTCTGTGTATGATTGTTATTGAAATGCTGTGAGAATAAAGCAATGGAATAGGGTTATGTTTTTAGAAGTAGTAAAAACTCTCAATTTACAAACAATTTTTGCTATTCTATATATTTAAAATTGTCGTATTCTTAAAGTCGATTAACTAATGCAATATATAATATATTTTTTAGTTGCATGTGTATATTTCCAGGTGTATCCAATGGATCCTCCCAACGACACAGACCCAGATAAAACCATTGATAGGGTCAAACAGAATGATCAGACGTTCCTTGATCTCAATTGGAATAATATTAAGGTAATATTACTAAAATATTATAGAAGTATTACTATTTACATTTAATTATTGATGTAAATTTGACATTAATGTATCTAATTACAGAATATAAGTGACGAGAAATTCGAAAAACTATTTGAGAGTCTCAAAACTAACACGCATTTGGAGGTATTGTCGCTAGTGAATGTCGGTCTCAACGACCGTACCGCCCAATTATTGGCTGATGCTTTGGAAGTCAACAGTACGCTGCGTGTTGTTAACGTAGAGACTAACTTTATAAGCCCGGCGGGAGTGGTTCAGTTGGTGAAGGCTCTGCTCACTACTACTAGCGTTGAAGAGTTCCGCGCTTCAAACCAGGTAGACGAGTTTGCCCATAACTTAGAACAATATAGATAAGAATTATAACTAAGACTTTTGCGAGTATTCACTGAAATAAAACTAATATTTTCGGATTTACTGCTGTACATGACAGAACATCTCGTTTGGCAGTGATCACGGTTGTTAAAAACTAACTGTAATAATTAAAAACCCTTGGTACATCTGAAAATATTGGTGTTAATTCAGTATGACTATTGTTATTTGATATGTATAGTATCATTTTGTTTAATTGATCGGAAAATAGATGTTTTGTACGCGATATGTGAACCGCGGTGGAGCATATCAAAGCAAATTATATGAATTTGCTACGGGTGTTAAGTTTATTTCATGATCCTTTATCATATATCGGAATGATATTGTGAAGAAAAGTTTTATTAAGTGAAATTATACAAGATATAAATCACTGTCCTACTAATATTATAATTGCGAAAGTTTGTGTGTGTGTGTATGTTTGTGACTTCTTCACGCTCAAACGGCTGAACCGATTGTGATAAAATTTTGTATACAGGAAGCTGACGTCCAGGAATAACATATAGGCTACTTTCCATCCCGGAAATCCGCGGGTAACACCGCGGGGCGTAGCTAGTAGAAGTATAAAGTTATAGTTTGTTCTTTTATTTATATTGCTATATAAAATGTTCCAGCGGTCGCAAGTCCTGGGCAATAAGACGGAGATGGAGATCACGCGGCTGGTGGAGCAGAACCCTACGCTGCTGCGGCTTGGATTGCATCTAGAGTACAGCGACGCTCGCCACCGGGTCGCTTCTCACCTGCAGCGGAACATCGACAGAAGTGAGTACACGTGTTCACGCCGTGACGGTCGACACGCGACTGAGTCGCGGCCGTCGATTGCCCTTTATATTTGAATTTGGAAAGTTACCTCATATGTAACCGGCCAGTGCGATTGAATACGCCAATAGCATCGCATTGTTTCAAATATGAGTTTGATATATTGAAATTTCGAATTAGGTTTGATATATTTAAATTTCAAATTATTATGAACCGGTATATTCAGTTAGCACATATACCAGTTTAACTAGTCCTTTGAGTCAGTTTACTTAAATCTCTCCACCTTAGTGCCAGGACTTAAGTAACTTTTTAAACATATTTTTCAGTTCCTAAAAGAATTTCAGTTAAAGAGTTTTAAATTTGGCATAAAGGTTATAAATGTGTTAAAATTAAAAAAGAAATGAGTTATTCAGATTTTTAACTAGGTTATGATAAATATAAGACTGATGCACATGTGATGCTTGAGAGAGAGAGGTGAGAGAAAAAAAAATGTATCAATAACATTAGGACATCAAAATTTCTTATGTACTGAACATTTATCTAAGTAGAGACGAATACTGAACAAACGAAGTAAAGCTCTTTGCTTGGAAACAAATCGATATAGAGTCCTTGGATCTAGTGTGAAGAATACAAGGTTTCATACAATGCTTACATTGTACAGCCTTTTTATTTGAACTTTGCACGTTCACCTTCGTTATTCCATATTCAATCTAAATGTAGGATGAAGGCCATACAAGCATTCATAAGATCAAAATTCATATAAAATATATTCCCACGAGTCATGGACATTCATTGCCATCAACAGTTACATTAGTACACTGCGGGGCGTCGGAGCGAGTCCGCGGGCGTCGGCTCCACACACTATAGTAAACACATACCATAGATCATAGATTATAGATCATGCCATAGAACATAGAGCACGATATAACAGAGGCATACATCCTCGCTTATTAACACTAATCATACAAAAGGATCATTTTGTAACGGCTCACGGAAGAGCCACGATCGAGAATAGAAGAAGAAAACACACCACATCGACTTACACTGAATCGATTATATCATACAAAACACGAAAAAGGGATCGAACATAACAAGACACAATCGATAAACGATATCGATATTATCAGATTGCCGATTACAAAAGCGGGCTAGCGTATCGCTAAGCTTGCGTTTGCCGCGCGGTCGTCCGCCGCCAGTCGGGGTCGACTCTAGCTTCTTCAACCTAACGCCACCTAGCGCTGAGACACCAACACCGACGAGCGAGCGAAGAATTAACGATAAACCTATAATGGAAACCGATAATGACAACGATTTACCTAATGCGAGGACGCCAGACATAGACCCCGCTACCCACTTGTGAGTAAGGCTCACAGCATCATGCTCCCCATCATACATTTGTGAAATTGATCAATCCTAACCCAGCCCGCTGTTTGATCAATTTCGCTGTTTGTTGTGACAAGACGGTCACTTTTTTTGTTCAATTACAGTACGGAAAGACCTAACGCTGCGACTTCAGTTCAGATTCTTTAACAACCTGCAAAAAGGGGCGCGTAGTCAGTAGAATGTATAAAGGTCAGCCATCATGGGTTTAGTTGGCACGGCTGCCTTAACAAACTTCGCTTCAAAAGCTTATTTTACAGTGTCGATTGATTTGATTATCTAATAGAGGTGCCGTTTTATGAATGGATAGTAATGATATCGATTTTATTCATAATAAATATTGATAAAACCGCACCCAGTTACTTCAAATACTTCACTGACTTGTGAAGTAATTCTTTAAACTTAACAGACTTCTTCGTCAAAATTGTTTTTTTTTTATTCTATCAGTACACTAAATTTCTTCATTAGAATCATACTACATAAAGCTGATTATTTGTTTTTTTTTTTAACCGATAACAATTTAATTTTTAGCCGAGAGGGGAGCATAAAGAAAAATGATAAAATATAGAATCGTCGCCAAAAAATCGGTAAAATTTTAAATGTATTTGGCGCGAGTGCTGTTAAATACGATAAAAATCGTGTTTTTTTTTTACGAAATCAGTAACGGTTTTTCGAGCTACAGCTTAGCTAATGTATTTGCTGCATAGACCTTCGATAAAACCGTGGGGTCGGAACTACAGAGGTCGAGCTCTGATGTTTTTTGTTTACTTTGCATTTAAGAACCGTACCATGAGTGTTGATTAACTTTCACGCATGATTGTGTGAACTAACAGAATGCGATGTATGGAATAACTTATAATATTAAGCATGAATATTAGAATCTTCCTACAAATAATAAGATTGCGAAATCCTCTGTGTTAGTTATATTTACATTCATTGTTAATTAGAATCCCTTTTGTAACGATGTTGACTCTAAAACATGTTGGAACTTATGAATTTAACAATCAGTGTTTTATAGCGAACATCGATTTGTATATAATAAAGCCCTGAAATGTGTGCGTGTGTGTATTACAGTACGCCAACAACGCCGGAGCCAGAGCGGCGCTTAGAATTCTAAACGACATATGGTGAGTTCCCTTATATACCTTGACCGGCAGTTATTAGAGAGGTGGAAGAGAATATTGCAATGAAAATCAACATAACAATAATACCACACTATACAATAATATACATTTAACGTAATTACACATTATACAATTCTGTGCCATTGAAACAATATTTTACAAACAATAGGCCAACATGATCCAACGTTGGACCAACTTGGTCATATTTTCTTGTCATAATGGTGATATTTGCCAATATTTGTCACCAACCATTTAATATCGTTGCAGGTGGAAGGGTCCGGCGCGTGAGCCTGTTCACTCGCAGCCCCAGCTACGTTGTTGGCTGGATCCATTAGTCCATCAATATTCTGTCACGCTCTTTGTCACTGTGTAGTATTTAAAATTTAAACTCAAGTTACACGATACGATACGACACGATAGGCCCTACTTAAGTGTCCTTTACACGATATGAAATTAATTACTAAGAGATGAGTTATGTCCTCGATCGTGTCGTATCGCGTCTAATATTTCAATTTAGCGCAATAGTTATAGCTTGTAATTGAACTATGCTTACTCTTAAGTATATTGCTTAACGACTAGGTGCTGCGTTTTGAATAAATAAAAAAAAAAATACGGACCGGCTCTTTATATTTGTCTGATATGAAGATTGCGAACCAGCTTTGAATATTGTTAAAGTAGTATAATGTATGTTTTTGAAATTATATGTAATTATCATATATTTTTAATCATATTTTGGGAATAAATTGTATACTAACAATCTTATTATATATGACTACACATTTACAAAGATCCGTATTGACAGATATCATTGTAAACTCGATGAGGATTTTGTTAACAAGAATTGTGGTTTTATTTGATAAAGTGACATCGAGACGACACAAGATGGCGGGACCATCGACACGACAATGGTTTGACGGATTATATTTTAAATTTATTTAAAACAAATGTATCATCAATTATATTATTTTTATTTAAAATAAAATCATAAATCTTGTCTATGACTGTTTCGTACGTTTATATAATTAATTCTAATTCTAGTGTGCTAATGAAATCGTATTAATTTTTTTTAATAATTATATTGTATTATATGTTATAGACGTGCACATTCCATTAATGCACAACATGCTTCTCAATTGCTGAATCCATTTATATAAGTTTTGATTACTTGCAATTAATACTTATATAAACGGAAGAACATCAAATTAATAACTTACTATACTTTTTAACTTGAGGTTTAAAAATCGAAAGTATGTTTTTAATATACTTCCATAAAGTTGAATATCGCACGACGCTGACAAAATCTGTAGTCATCATGAAAGTATAAAATTATACTGCCATAAAATAAGAGAAGTAATGTTTTGTATAAATGGATATTAGTTTAGCGTTTTCAATAAGGCACAAGGTTTTCATTGTACTCGCTGACATCAAACCACGTCGTTCGTTTGGTGGCTTTTAATGCGACCTTCTGCTTTCTTGAAACTCATTGCTTATCGTTTTAACTGTATACTTGATAGTTTACTGGGGATCTTTGTGTCCATAACATTGTGATAAACGTCATGTTTTTCCATTAAAAAAACCGCTTTGTTTTTTTTTTCTATTCGTTTTTTTTCTCGTCAACGTAAGGATTATCTGTATATGAATTTAGATTTTAATGTATTTTTCTTTTGTTGTAACGAGCTATAAAATTTTATAATAAAGAATAGTTTGTAATTATAGATTTTATATATGCCAATGTTGTGAATGGAACTTTTGGTCCAACGGAAACCTTGACTATTAGAGTCGCAGTATGTAGTTTGTGACATAAAAAAAATAAATAAAGCACTTAAACATAGTTTTCTTTTATTTAGCATTGCATATATAGTTTGTACTTTCTACCAAAGAAGACTTCTCTGTACATAAGAACTGTAAAAATGTAAAGTTAACGTTTTTTTGTTTATATACGATAAAATCTCTTCATGGCCTATACGTATAAAGACCATCTGGAGATAAAAGAATTGGCCAAGTCCTACTGGCAATCTTAAGAGATTCTGTTTGTGGTCGAGATTGCGCTTCAAGCATCTTATATTTTATTAGCATTTTTATTATTGAAATAAAAAAAACTAATTTTCGATGTTAAATTATGGAAATTTCGACGCCTCGACTAGAAGTCTCAATAATTTTAATTGATTTTACTGGTAACAATTTGACTCTAAACGCTTTATACTTAAAGATGTCTAGACATCGTCTTATAATTATTAAGATAACATCAGTTCAATTACATATAACAACTTGTTACGTGTGTTCTATCGTCTGTACCTTGAGAAATTATTGGATGTACTGTACTGTGTATGTAGTGACAGCATCACGTATTTTGACTACTTGTTTCCGGACTTTTCTCGAACATTTAATTCATATTTTATATTATTTAATAGTTTTAATGGATTTTCAAGAAGTAAATAGTTACAAGTTTTTTTTTTTATATTATTAAATATGTATTATTTAATTTTTAATTTTAATATTTTCAAACAATTTTTTCCTTCTCCATAATGTTTTATTTACTTTTTACATTTTCTCTAGTCTAGCAATTACCTAAGTGGATTAAAACAGGAAGGAAGCGGAGGTTGTGAATATTATCGAAATGATTTTTTTATTTATTTCGGTAATCCAATAGTATTTATTTATATACTCTTTATTGCACACCAATATATACAAAAATAATTGGAGTAAAACAAAGAAAAGAAAAATGTACAATAGGGACGACCTTATCGCTAAAACAGCGATCTCTTCCAGGCAACCTTTGGTAGAGGAGAGAGATAGGATGGTAGGGGTGTACAAATTATTTAATACATAACAAATTTATACCACATATATATACGATACATAAATAAATATTCCATAAATATATGATTATATAATAATATACATACACATTATAAATATATACATTTATATACTATAGATACTTACATAATAAATAAAATATTTAATTGCAGTATTTCTTCATGAAGTAAGATAGTGCTCTTTTATCATTTTTTTAAAAGAAGTAATAGTTGGTGCACGTCTTGCTTCTAGTGGAAGAGAGTTCCAAAGACGAATTGAATGGACTGTAAATGAGTCACTATAAAAAAATGTTGTAAGGGGGGGTATTTTTAAGACCAAATGCTCTTCAGAACAAAGATTATGGCTATGTGAAGAACTTAGAAATTGAAAACGTTCTTTTAGATATGAAGGAGAAGACGGATTGAACAGAATACAGTACAGAAGTTGAAGGATGTGAGTATTCCTGCGAAGCCGGATTGGGAGCCACTTGAGCTTTTTACGAAATTCAGAAACGTGATCATATTTACGAAGACCAAATATAAATCGGATGCAAAAATTTGGAGACGCTCAAGTTTATTAAGTTGCTCCTCTTTTAGATCAAGATAACATGCGTCAGCATAATCGAGAATTGGTAGTAGGAGTGACTGTGCTAACATAATTTTGGTAGGGATGGGTAGAAAGTTGCGTAATCTTCGAAGGGAGCCAAAGGCTGAAAAATTTTTTTACTAACCTCACTTATAAATAATACAAAGCTGAAAACAGGATTACACAGTTTCAGTCAAATATAAATGAAACGTTAAGGTAAGTGTTAATTAATTACAAGTAATTCATTGTGTGGCCCAGCTGTGGTCATACGACTACAGTTCAAAAATGGGCTGGTTTGACCGGGGCATTACCACCCTCTCCCAGAAGAGCGGCATGAAGTAGTTTTTTATGGCTGCGTTGAGCCTGCAAGGGCTGCCTATCGTACGATGAGTAAGAGGCCTTTTTACTTTTTCCCATCCTTTCCTGTCCTGAGATGTCGGTGTGTGCAGTGGCTATTTGTCCTGCATTAGCTTAAGTCCGTCTTCTCTCATTCTCTTCACCCGAACCAAATATGAAAAACTATTGCACATGAGAGTTATACGCACTAATCCGTTACCGTCCATCGCCATCTAAAGAGGGTAAAGCCGAGATAATATCCAATCCTGGCAACACTTTGTGTCTGAACTATCACGGTTACACACTTGACCACCTATTTCTATCGGGGGTCGGGGTTTGATTATACGCCAAGGAGGATATTTATTATCAACGTCTTGATAGCCTAGAATCTGGGTACCTGTCAGTGATGTGGATATGGGTGGAAAATGGTAGCACAAGCTGTATCTACGCCTGCCTATACAGGTCCCATAGGGGTAATACCGAAGCCGATATAACTTTATTCCATAGGACTTTTAGTTTTGCCGGAAATCGAGAAAATAATTTTCTACCCTTAAATACTCCCTCCCCCCCAAATACACTTACCGAGCTCAAAGCGCCTGTGAATTATTTTTACTTTATTTTTTATAATATTACCCTTCTGTTGTAATCGGTTTCATCCGACTATTATTTTTTTTTAACTTTTTATCAATTTTAAATGCTTCTACCCTAGCATATATAAATTTTTTACTACCTCAGTTATGTACGTTTTTTTCTTGTTTAATAAAACCTCCAGTTAGTTATTATACGTCCGCTAAAGTTATTTAAATTTTAAAGCTTAATTATCGTCTTATCTTTTCATCCCTACAATATAAATCCAAGTCAACGAAATGTCATGCACCGCGTCTGTCATATTTTTTTATTGGACTTATAAACGACCTCTGTATATAAGTTGCTGCATGCCAGACATCAGATTATTGTTCGTTCTACAATCACACTTTAAACTGGATATTAATTTTAGTCCAAATGGCCAAGGAGGTCAGAAATGAGAACTTTAATCTCGATGAAGTAAGTCTATATAATATTTTTATTTATCTTTTTTGTATTAATATAAATTTAAGCCACAGAGTATTTTGTGATTGGAATTTTGAATTATTTAAGCTGTGTGTGTTTGTAAAGACGGCTTTAAGGCCTCGGCCTCGAATTTTGCGGGCAGCGTAGCGGCAGCGGGAGCGGCAGAATCTTACGCGTATAATCAAATGGACCGACCCTCGAATACAGCTGTGCCCGCTGCCCGCTAGTTTGGAGAACAGTATGCGTTTCCGTGCCGCCGCCGCCGCCGCTCTGCTGCCCGCAAAATTCGAGGCCGAGGCATAATGGATACTTAAAACTTTTAATACATATTTTTTATTTGAGTTGTAATTCAATGTTTGATAAAGAATAAAAATTATATAATTCATAAGATTAGAATAGAAAACCATCACAAAAAACTTTATTTTGTGTCATTAAATTTCCTTAATTACATATTTTGTTTTAAAAATAATTAGTTATTTGTCTGAATAAAGTTAGAAAATTCATTATGAAACAAAAATATTAATTCTTAATTATTACTTCTTAGTGATAAAAATCGAAAGAAAATTTTTAATTCTAAATAAAGTTTAATTATTTTCTCGTTCCTTGATATTTTTCCCGAGTGTGTCGTTTTGCAAATATTTTCATTAAAAAATACACGAAATTACTATTACATATAAAATTATTAGAAGCTTATTCTATTACCTGGCTCATATTAATACTTTATAGGCACATTTTTTTCTTCTTTGAATCTTTCCACGTTAGGTGGGGTCAATTCTCCTTACCTTTTTTGCGCGAGGACAATCTGTTCTGGATTGTCGGGTCAGGAAATTGGGAGTTTTTAACTTTATTGACCATACTTTACAGACACATGAACATTGTTATATTATGTTATAGGAGATTCTGGCGCCTTATACCCACCTCACACGAATTCGTGGCAAGGAGTTTAGAGAACAATTAGTGAGGTCCTTCAACTATTGGCTCAAGGTCCCTGAAATTCAATTTAAAAATGCGATCGATATCATGACAATGCTTCACAATGCCACCTTACTGTGAGTCTTCAGAAGTATTATTACTAATTATCTTTCTTGCAAAGTATCTTAGAAGATTGTATTCGTAATGTAATCATTTTTTTAGGTTCGATGACATCCAAGACAGTTCGTTAACCAGACGAGGTCTGCCAGCAGCTCATTGCGTATATGGCGTTCCTTTAACTTTGAATGCCGGCTCCCAAATGATATTGAAGTGTATAAGTAAAGCCTCAGAGTTAGTACCAAGCCGGGAGGTATGTTTGGAAAATAAAAGATGTCTACAAATAATAGTTTTAGATTTTTTATCGATATTCAATACTAGTCAACGCCTTTAATAATGTAGTTCTTTTATAGGGAGCAGAAATTCTAGTAAATATATTTTTCAATGCCCTTTCTGGCCAGGGCTACGAAATCTACTGGCGTGAAAATCGTATCTGTCCCAATGAGGAGATATATCTCAAGATGCTTTCTTTAAGTAAGAAATAAGCATTAATGTTATTTCAAATTTTTTGGTGATGATGATGATGATGAATTATTAAAAATAATTATTATTCTACTGCTATTTCGTGCTTCAACTATGACTTGTAATTTTTTCATGCAAGTTTAATACTGCAAAGAGAAAATTAAAATTAATTCATACGTAAAACTCATAAACTTAACAAACAAAAAGGGCTATCGAGAGCTCGTATAATTATTTTATGTATATATTTTACAATGATGAACTAAGTGAGATGAATTTGATAATAAAATAAAATTCTTATTTCAGAAACTGGTACTATACTTTTGATTGGAGTAAAATTGATTCAGCTGTTCAGCGAAAATAAGACTAATTTTGATGATTTTGTTATGAAACTTGGGCTTTACCTCCAACTAAGGGATGACTATTGCAATATGGGACGTGAGAATGTATTATCAAATTATATAATCCTTTATTATATTTTTTAACTATCATACATTCGTATGATAGTTGAACTAAGGTACACATAAATCTCTTAATCAAGTAATTATATATGGAACAATTAAAATATTTGCCTTTACAGGATCTAGAAGAAGTTCCAGGAGAAAAAGACATGAATGTTGGTTTCAATTAATTTTATTTTATGTGTCTTACGTTGCTGAAAGTTATAAAATTATAATATGGTTATAGGGCGACAATGATGGGTATGTCTTAGAAGATATAACTGAGGGCAAGTTCACATTGCCTGTGATATATACCATGAAGACTCCAGAAGGACCGCAAGTTTTAAGTATCCTTTTTAACATCGTGGACACAAATATATCACATCAGTTTGTAGTGTAGACTGCTTTATACGAGATAATCCACAAATGAAGTTGTGCGTAATTTTCACATATAATTTTCTGAGCGAATAAAGGCATAATGCGTCAACACACCAGAGATCTGGAACTGAAGAAGTATTGTTTGTCTCTGCTGGAGAAGTCTGGAGGAATGCAGTATACTAGGGATCTTTTGATGAAGATGGACAAGGAATTGCGGGCTGAGGTGTAGTAAAGAAATACCTTTTCTTAATACATATGAAAACGACGACTCTAAATAGCTTTAAATCAAAAAACTTAACGAAATGAATTTTTAGCCAATTTGTTAGTAAGAATACTTCTAATAATAACACATGCAATTTTTAAAATGCATACGTGCAGGTATATCTTAACAAGTTAAAATCAATTATTATTATCAATATATGTGGTTGTATTGATTTCAGCTAGCAAGCTTTGGCGGTAATCCCATTTTGGAAGAGGTATTAAACGGGTTAAAGATTTAAAACACAAAAAAATAATTCTTGTGCAGGTAAATGGAATTAAATAACATTACATATTAGTTAAACGGCATCAATTTCGTTATATTGAGTTTAAATAAGTATATATATTAAATCTTCTTTTTGTTATTTGATTTTAGTTTTATATAATTTCCCTTAACTGTCCATTTACTGTCCACCTTAACTGTCCATTTAAAAAGTCTAAAGATATGCACATATACACACATTCACATTTACATAACGATATGTGCTCATATGCATGTACACAAAAGTGTCCATTTTTGTCAGTTAGCTCACAGTCGATTAACCGGCCTATTTGATTGATAAGAAGATTATTTGATTGTTCAGACGAAAGATAAGTATATATAACAGCAGAAAATTCCAGCAATTCTTACATTTTATGAAGTTAATATTATACTAATCGATACTGTTAATAAGAAACGCATACATAAAATTTTATTATGTATAACCATAAAGATCTATATTTTTTGCATTAAAAAAGATAAAAAAAAAATAATATTTAATTATCCATGTATGATTTGAATATTAGTGTAATTACCTGCTTCGTAAGTATGCATAAGTTGATGGATGATTCCATAAGAAATGCTGGCTGGGACGCCTCCCTGGGAACTGGATGCCCAGGTTCTGGCGGGGGTGTACCACCAGCGTGCGCGAGAGCGATCCCGGGGAACGAGTCCGGACCGGGATCGGGTGGAAGGTTGGCGGCGCTCCGCGCTCGCCTTGCTATTTCGCCGGTGGAGGCGGAAGCTCTCTGAGCCAGTGGCCGGGTTGCGAACCGTGGAGGCTATTCGCCCGCTCCTCAAAGAGTGGGTGGACCGCCGACACGGTTCCTTGACCTTCCGGCTGGTGCAGATCCTCTCGGGGCATGGTTGCTTTGGGAGGTATCTGTGCCACATAGTCGGAAGAGAGCCGACCGCGGCGTGTCACCATTGCAGTTGCATGGATGACACGCCCGATCACACCTTGGCGGAGTGCCCTGCGTGGGCGATAGAGCGTCGCCAGCTCACCGCGGTGGTTGGCGCAGATCTCTCGTTGCCGGCAGTGGTTCAGGCCATGGTCGGTAGCGAGAGTGCCTGGGAGGCGGTGGTCCGGTTCAGCGAGTGCGTCATCTCGCGGAAAGAGGCCGCTGAACGAGCGCGGGAAGATGACCCCTCCTCGGCGCCCCTGCGTCGACGAAGGCTGGGTAGAAGGCAGCGGGCCTACGCTCGCCAAATGCCTCCCCAGTGAGAGGAGCCTCCGGGCGTTGGTGGGGAACCGGCGTCCGGGCAACATAGGCTGGAGTGAGAGTGGCGTGCTTGGCGTTCCCGGCACGCTGCTCTGGAGTCGGAGGGGAAGTGTGGTGAAGCCACTGTGACCCCTGCCGAAGACGGAGTCCATGGGACTCGTGCGTAGTGAGCGGAAGTATGGCTTGCCGTTCCCGCTCACTAGCCTACGCACAGCGCAGAGAACGCCGAGGAGTTTAGTGGGTGGAAATCCCACACGCCCCCGCCGTGTTTTCCCCCGCGGCGGGAAGTCTTTCAAAGATTCTCCTCGTTAAAAAAAAAAAAAAAAAAAATGATTCCATAAGAAAATATCTTTTATATTTTATGCTGTTTATACCATTATGCAGATAAATATTTATAAAACCATTGCACTATTGCAATGGCAGTACGTTAGCACTACGAGTATATACATAGTCTGTTTTAAGTCACAATTACGTAAAGTTGGCTGCAATATGATAACTGATGGAATAAAATAAGAAGACGATAATTCTTTTTAATTTCTTATTATTAAATGTCTCGAAAATGTGTTAATCGAATTAATTAGTTAAATATCATATAGCTTCACAGTCAAACAGTAGTATTATAGAAATGTTTAAAAGTATGTAGTAGAAAGGCGATTGAGATAACTATAGTCTGTTAGGCTTCGAAAATCAACACTCTTTAAAAAAAATTAAATGAATTTAAAAATGACTTTGGCCTAGCTGTAGTAAGACTCGAGCTCGTCTTTGTAGGTCGACTGTTAATGTAATATCCTCTAACAGAAGATCGAGTTAAAGTAGTATTTTGCATTGCACTTCCCCTGATGAATGAATGAGATCCGTAAGCCCTTAATCTTCATCCTAAATGGTTAAGCTTACTTCATTGCCAGGTGGACGCGATGAAATGACGCACCCGTAGTTTGGTAGTGGATCCGAACCTAGAGTAACTCGGTTTTGGGGCTTTCTAAGCCATTGTCATGTTAGGTACTCACTGTCATTTTCTATATTCCTCCCGGCTAAATAACTATCTTTTGGGAAGGAGTAAGTAATGGTAAAAATTTGGAGCAAGTTTCTGAATGGGGAAAATTGAATCTTGTTTAGTTTAATCCCTCGTTTAAGACATAGTTACGTGCGTTTACCTACTAATAAAACACAATTGAAACGCATGGAGTAATGTTTCACACTGCAATTTCTGCTTTAATTATACAATACAAATCAATTTCACTCCCATGTAGTGTAATGTATATATATATATATATATATAACCTTGATTATATATATGTATATCTGATATCTGTGTTTTTAAAAGTCATGTTCACAGGTCCCTTCTTTACTTTTAAGGGATGCAACATACAAAAACAGAAAATGCTTCAGTTGATCTACATCATAATTTATTATGTTAATTTAAATATTATTTATTTTACAAGGATAATTACGAAAGTAAGTCATGTCAGCAATAATTTAACAGATTAATTTTTCACAAAATGTAATTGCAATAACTTATTAAATGTCAAAAACTTTTTCAGGAAATGTTTCTTTAATGTTAGATACTCGTAAAATCAATACTCTAAAGATCAGGAAACTCAATAAAACAGTTATTGTGGGATCATTACAACTTTCACTGGCAATGGGTGTAGCCTTAGCAGAATGTGTAAAGATTTTATAGCACTAATATAAGACTACTAAGTAAGGTTGTAAACGAGAAATAGAAAAGTCTAAACTTATATTAGCCTCAATACCTTATTATTGGTAAAAATGTTTTAAAAATAAAAATACCTACAAAAAGAGTTACCACGGTCGGGAAATATAAAATTTAGCTTGAATCCTACTTTCAGTTTGTCGATTTTTGGTTTTTGAAATAACATAAAGCTGGCTTAGACAGCAAAAGAGTGAAAGTATTAAAATATTAAATAAAGTGAGGAAACTGTTAATAGTTAGGATAAATAAAGAGTTTTCTATGTTGTTTTCTTGGTCAAACCGTATTATCTATATATATAAACAAAATCGGAGTGTCTTATGTCTAATGTAATTTTGAAATAATATTCTTTTAACCACATGCATATAAAAATATATAGGTACGCTATGTGTACCAATATAACTTTTTTAACATTTTTGTTTGTCTGTTTGTTCCGATTTATATTTATAAATGAGGGACCGATTTTGACGGGAATTTTTTTGGTAGGTAGCTGATGTAATAAGGAATAATATAGACTACTTTTTATTCCGACCCCGACATTAGCAGTTATCACGCGTGAGTGAAAGTCAAAGTGAAACGAAATTAGATATTAGAATTGTGTTGTTTATAAAATTCACTCATCGAATTTATCAATGGTTTTAAAAAAATTGGATGTGCTTTAGAATTTTACTTTAGAATTTATTTTTTTAAATTATATTGAATTTATAATCCAAATATCGTTTTACTCTAGTAATTATAAGCCTGTTATTTATGATATATTTTGTTGAAATATTTTTTCTTTGTCATGTCAGTCTTGTCAAATGGCACACTAATGAAGGGATTTTTAATAGAATCATTATCTCATATGAAAGTGGATCTCGTACAATACTCACAAACTCTCATCGGAATGTCAAAAACTCTAAAACTTACATAAATTTCAATTAAGTTATTCAATATCACATTTTAATTAAAATCATAATAGAGCCTCACGTTATTTAATACCGAAAATACGCTTCAAATAATCAATACAACCTTAAAACGTTGCAACCCCACAACACAAAAACACCACCATCAAAGTGTTCATACCAAATTCTTGAATATTTGGCCCACGATTGATTGTCAGTGCAAAAAACTATATTTGTAGTTCAGCAAAAAAGTGATATTATCGGAACCTTGCAACGAAATCAATTAGTATTTGTTACAGCTGTATATATATGCACATATACGTATAGCTGTACATACATACTTTGTAGCCATGAATATAACATTTTATATTTTCGAAGCAAAACCTATTTGATAAATAGTTATTTACAATTCTCGTAACAAAAAAAGCAAAGATGTTTTCATCATCAAGAAAGGATAACATGCAAACTAGTAATTATATTATTTACCACCAGCATTGCACAATTAAAAATTGACAATAAATGGAATTGGTTTTCGTGACAATTATGGAAAATGAAATATGGGAATTTGAAAAATAAATGGTGATGACATAGTAATTTCATATTTATTCCTATTGAAGTAAGGAATAAAATAGTTTAGTTTATTTCCAAAACATATAAAAGCCCCCAATGAAGACATATTTTCATTTC